TTTGATGGCCGCTTCTGGCTTCCTTGGACACATAATGCGCATACATCCATGAAATCAAACTATTCATACCCATAAGATAAAATAAATCTACAAATAACCCTCAAAACTCTAGTCCTCAGTTGGGCTTGATGTTTCACACCTACAATCACAACACTCAGGAGGCAGAGGCAGGAGGATTAAGTTCAAGGCTAGTCAGTGTAATTACATAGTGAGACCTTGTCTTAAACAAATGAAGATTTGTAGTCCCCGCCATCTTCTTCCCCCACATCATCTCTAAAATGGCTTTTGGTATGTGCTGGGGGCTAGGAAAATTGATTCTTCCCCCAGCAAACCAGGGCTGAGAAAGCCACACCCAATTCCACCAGGCCATTCACTTCCTGTTTGGGACTGGAGGATCAATGGTGTGTCACTGGCCTTAAATCCAAATAGCCCTTGTTTCCATCTGCTCTGAGAACAGCCAGCCTACTCTAGGCCTTGGCCATGCAGACAGGCCCGGAGCAGATGGTCCCCTAGGAAATGAGAAGGGTTACTTGGATCCATTACTTGCTCCCAAAGCCAAAAGGACATTGAATACCCAGAAAGAAACAATCAGGGTAGGACTGGTTGACCTGGTTCATTTGTCTCCTATCCCTTCATATATGGCAATGCAGAGAGATGAAGTAAACAGCCCAGACCTACTACATGCCCCGCACAACTGTACGTTAGGACTGGCGAGATAGCCCAGTCAATAAAATGCTTGTCTTGCAAGCAGAAGGACCAGAGTTTGATTCCCAGAACCCAAGTGAAAGGTCTCCATGTGAGGGCATGCACATGCAATCAATCCCTGGGGCTTACTGGCTGGACAGCCCAATTGGTGAACTCCAGGCCAGTGAGAGACTATCTCAAAGGAGGTGACAGCAGTTCTGAGGATATCATGAGGTTGTCCTCTGACCTCTATACACACAGGTACAGGCACCTACACCCACATACACCCTCCCCCACACTCACATTTAGAAAAGATGTGATATTAGAACACTGGTTTACCTCACTAAACACCAGGTTTCTGTTCTCTCTCTCTCTCTCTCTCTCTCTCTCTCTCTCTCTCTCTCATTTTGTTTTCTGAGACAGGGCTTTTCTGCCTAGCTTCTGGAGCCTGTTCCGGAACTCACTCTGTAGACCAGGCTGGTCTCTGTGAGTTCAACACAGAGATCCTCCTGGGATTAAAGGCGAGCACCACCACCACCCAGCAGCACCAATTTTCTTATCTGTGAACTCTCCCATCTAGGACCATCTGCCCACACAGGAAAACTCACTAGAAGAAGGGAAAAAGCAGGTCTGAGTAGGCTTATTGCTCGTTTATGTTTCCGCTGGGCCAACTGCTATTCCATTCAATATCAAGGGTGGAAGAGGAGCTATGGGTAATCTGGACAACAGGTAGCACCACGTCTGCCCTTGGAGTGGGGGGATTTCTGGGCACAATGGATTTCTGAGGCTTCCAAGGAGATTCAAGGTGCCAAGGTGAGTCCTTATTTCCCTTCTCCCAGAGGAGGAAGGAAATGAAGTCTCCAGCTATTATCTCTCTCAGGCCAACATCAGAAGACCTATGTTCCAACAGCAAACAGCCTGAGCTTTAAAGGCCCATTAAGGGCTCGGGGAATGACTCAGTTGGTAACAGGCCTGCCAAGCAAACTTGAGGACCTAAGTTCGATTCCCAGCACCTATACAAAAAGCCAAGTGTTATGACATGCGCATATAAGCCCAGTGCTATACAGCCAGGACAGGGAGATCTCTGGGAAGCACTGGCCAGTCAGCCTAGTCAAATCAATGGGTCTCAGGACAGGAGAGACTTTATATCAAAAAGAAAGATGCTGACCAGAGAGGTGGCTCAGCAGTTTAGAGCACTTGCTGCTCTTGAAGAGGATCCTGATTCGAGTCCCAATTCCCAGTGCTCACAACCATCTGCAACGCCAGTTCCAGGGATCTCTGCTGACCTCCATAAGCACCAGGCACACATGTGGCACACATACATGAATGCAGGCAAAATATTTATGCACATAAAACTAAATTAATCTTCCAGGCAGTGGTGTCACACGCTTTTAATCCCAGCACTCAGGAGGCAGAGACTGGCGGGTCTCTGTGAGTTTGAGGCCAGCCTGGTCTACAAGAGCTAGTTCCGGGACAGGCTCCAAAGCTACAGAGAAAACCTGCCTCGAAACAAAACAAAACAATTAATTTAAAAAGTCAAGGTGAATAGCTTTTAAGAGATAATATTCAAAGTTGATCTCTGACCTTCATACCATGACCCAAATGGCCTCTGCAGGCCTCTTGCCATGCTTGTGGTCATCTAGAAGCTGCAAAGTGCCCATTCCAGGGGAGGAGCAGTGCAGCATAGTGTGTCTAACACCCTGTGATGCTCACAGGCTCTTCAGAGGGACCTCAACGGAAAGCTAAGAAGACCAGTCAAGGTGTCCTTAAGGGCTCAGTCCTTGGTGCTCATTACGAAGGATTTAAATCAGGATTTGAAACTGTGACCTAAAACTGGGTATGGGTGTGCTGGTGGGGTTTTTAATCCCAGCACTGGGGAGGCAGAGACTGGACGATTCCTGGGGTTCTTTGACCAGACAGTCTGGCCAAATTGGAGAGCCCCTGGCCACAGTGAGATAGTGAAAGTCCTCCAAGGGCATTTCTCAACAGTTAGGTGTCTCCAGGTGGGAGGCGAGAGTACTGCATTTCCTTCAGGAAGATGCACACCATTGGTCTTCCAAGAGAAGCACTTTGGGGGCGAGAAGGTTGCTATAGATGATCACAGCAGATAGGAGGACAGAGCAAATGAGAATCACAGGCAAACCTGGCACTCTAGACACCGTCAGAGTTGGCAAGGTCCAGCTTCTTGGGAAGCTAAGGCAGAAAGCTATCTGGTCCAGGAGTTCAAGGACAGCTTAAGGAACACGAGACACCCTTCCCCCATCTAAAAAAACACATAAGTAAATTAATCCTATTACCAAGAAGCCAGCGAGGAGACGCTGTATTTACAGAGTGTGCCAAGTGCAGCCTGGTTCCTCTGACTCCCTTCAGCAAACTGCCCTCTTGCCTCCATGCCCCAGTAATGCCTCATTCAGGAGCAAACCCCACCCATACTCACACCTCTCTCCTTCTGAGAGCTGTTGTGTCTTCATCTTCAGTCCATGTATTGCCACCCTTATTCAGGGGATAAAGAGAATAAAGGTCCTGCCAATGGCAGGGCCAGCAGCAGAAGATTATGGCTGCTTCCCCAAGAAGAGTCAAGATGGTTTCTCTTCCTCTATTGCGAGCAATAATGAAACAACACCACCTCATCCTGAAAGCCTCCCTGGCAGACGCAGAGCCGGCCCCTGAGACCACATTCCTAGTTGTGGCTGGCAGGGGGAGGCACAGGCAAGCCTAGAGCATAGGGAGGCAGCTGCTCTAAATCTGGGGGGAGTTTTGCAAGCACCTCTTCATAGTGACTCATTTAGGGACTCCCTGAAAATTTCTGCGAGTTGAGAACAAAAGTGGCGGGAGCTGAGGAACCTTGTGCCTTTCCCTCACCTCCCCTGCAGAGAGATGGGGGCTGCTGTAGGAAACATGAAGGACTCAGAGCTGACTGAACTTGACTTCATGCCACAGCTTGTCAGCAGGGTCTGCAACCCATCTGCCCGGTCCACGGCCAAAGAGAAGAAAATAGAAGTGAGAAGGAGAAAAGACAGGAACAGGCTGGGTGTGACTTTGCCCACCTACCCCTTAGAAGCCTAATGGAAGCTCCACCCTCCTGCTCACCTTACTGGGTGTGTGTGGAGGTCTGTGGACTGGGCCTCTGAGTCTCTTAACACTTAGCCATAGTCAGCTTGCTTGTAGCCAGACCTCCCTCTAAGGGTTATCACTGGCTGTGTGACCTAGGACCTTTTGTTTGACTTCTCTGAGCCTCAGGTTCCTACCTGGAACATGGCACAATTCACAGTGTATATGTGGAAGTCAGAAACAACTTGCTGGAGTCAGTTCCCTGCTTCCAGGAGCAGTGACTAGCCTAGCTGCTCTGGGCTGGCAACCACACCTTTCCTATACCAGCATCCTAGAGCCACGTTGCCTAGCACCAGACATCTGTCATCTGCTTCCAGTTCACCCACTCACCACCTGGGGGACTTTGGGCACAAGCCTTATTAATGCCATATAAGAAATGGGAACAAGGCATGACGCCTTCCTCACAGGGGCTGAACTCCACAAGGCAGGCAGAGGGGCCAGCCGTGAAACCTTTCCTCCCTGTAGGTTATAGCCTGATAGCTGTAGCTGTGGATGCAGGAAGGGCAGGTGGGTGAAGCACACTCAGCAGGATGCCATCCTGTGACCAGCCAGCAGTGCCTGGGGGTGCTCTGGCTTAAGCAGTAATGCCTGTCCCATCCAGGAGCATCCCCTCTTGAGAGGATGTAGGACTCTTCTTATTTTGCTCCCCAGAGAAACTTGGACATCCTAGTGGGTTGTTAAGTAGTCATAGATTAAGACTTTTTTTTTTTTTTTAACACACACCATACAATGTGCATGTATTTCGTGAAGGGTTCGTGAAGGGCACGGGGAGGTTAGAGACAATTTGTTGGAGTCCCTTCTTTCCTTCCGCTTTGAGGTAGGTTCTCACTGGGTTATTTGAATGGCCCCCAGTGCATTCATTTACTCCTTCTAGAAACGTTAGCACATTGGCCTGGCTGGCCTGGAGTTCCCAGGAACACCGGTGCTTCGGGGGAAGGGACTTGGATTTGCCCTTGAGTCTACTTCTGTACCTATATTGAGCACTATTTGTACTATTGTACACAATAAGCACTATTTTTTAGACAGTGTCTCCTGTAGCTAAGGCTGGCTTGGAATTTACTATAAAGCAAGAATGACCTTGACTCTCCCACGTTCCTGCCCACGCTCCCCAGTGCTGAGGTTACAGGTGCTGAGATTAGGAAAGCACTCTACCTAGTGAGCTTCATCTCCAGCTGCCCTCTCTGGGTAGGTCAATTTCAGTCGGGCTAGGGCTGAGATTGGAGCAATGTCAGCTGATGGGACCCCGTGGGCACGGGAAAGGGTCCACGGGTTGGCTACCCCTGCGAACCTGCATTTCAAAAGTCTAAAGCCCGCGTAGAGGGGTTCAGTGGCCAGGACCTGGAGTCTGGGGCCTCCGTCTCCCCACCTGGGCCGGACGACCAAGCGCCAAGGCTGGGAGCGCGCCCCCGGCGCCCCCTTAGCCTGCGTGGCGGCCGCGCGCACGGGCGCAGGGGGCGGCGCGGTCCCGCGGCGGGGAGGGGCGGGCGTGCGGGCGCGCGCAGAAGAGGCGGCTGAACCCGGTGGACTAGCTGCGGCCGTGGCGCCGCCAACTCGCGTGCGACCCGCTCTCCGCCCGCCGCCGAGACTGCCGCCGGCGTCGGTGAGTGGCCTGGGGCGGGCGAGGGGCGCGGGCCAGGGCGTGGGGCCGTCGCCCGAGACGGTGGGAGCGCGCGCGTTCCCGAGAAGGCGGCGGGTACGCCCGCAGGAGGCCGAGGTGTCGGCAACTGGGCTCCGACCGCTGCGCTGCACGGGAGTGCGTGCGTGTGCATACCGGGGGCCTGGGCTGTGAGTTTGGGGTGGACCAGCGCGGGAGGATGGACTAGGCTCCCGCTTATCTGTGTGTCGAGCATTTACCGTGGGTGCCAGGGAGTACATGTGCCCACGTGTCTGAACGTTCCCAAGTGAATGTGGGCACACGTGCGCGGGCCAAAGTGTACAAATTCCGTACATGTGTGTTTAAGAACCAGTGTAACACCCTACACTGTAGGCCAGTGTGTGTGATGTGCCGACTGACCCTGCCCGGAGAGATTACCGGATGCGTGCAGGGCCAGATTTTGTGAGTCTGGGGCTCAGGGACAGACCCGCAGATGCCCAGGGTCTGACTCCGGTGGAAGCAGCTCAGCCCAGCCTTGGCAGGACTCTGCATGGCCACGCAGGCTGGGGATGGGGCTGCCCTGAACTTGACTTGAGGTTTTCAAAATCCGTCTGAGTTCCCTGGCTTTGTTCTTGGCTGTCTCCAGCTAGGCCAGATTTGGACTCTGCTGCCCCCCATACTTAGGGGTTAGGTCCTAGGGAGACCCAGGGCCCCAGTTACTTGCTCTCTGTGACTGTCCCTCTAAGTTAATCATATTCTCCCGGCTTATCTGAGCCTCAGAGATAGTAACAAATGGGTGTCAGCATACTTGGGACACGTCCTCTAAGGGCTGTCCTTGCGGTTTTAACTGACAGTTTATATGTGTTGAAAATCTCAGTTGAAAGTTTTAACTACTTTAAAGCAAACTTTACAAAGTTTCTGTCTGAGCTTCTCTCCGCTGGGCAAAATGCAGCTTGACTCTCTGAGGGGAAAAAATGTCCGTACAGTAGTCTGGTGTGTGTAAAGGGGCGCATTAAAAATCCCTGTTGCTAACGGGAGAAGAATTTCATTGAATGGGTGCCTGACTCCGACAGGAGGAACTTAAGCAGTGAACTTTGGACATAGTCTTTCATCAGACAAAAGCTGGAAGGAAGCAAAAAAGACCCATGTTCTTTTTTTCTCTTTGTCCTGAAAACTGGGGGAAAAAATATCCCCACCTTCTGGATGTGCTGGAACTGTTCCCCTCCCCCATCAGGGCCAGGCCCTTGCTGGATCCCCCACCCCCAAATAAAATATGCCTGTGGGGAGCGGAGGAGTGAGTCACTCCCTGGCAGAGGGCCCCACGGCAAACATTTGGGAAGGTTCTTGCTTAACTTCCCAGAAGAAAAGGCCCGGGATTTAAAATGGTCCCCGTGGTTTGTGAGACTCTGAGCCCCATCTGCTTCAGAAATGACTTAAAAAGTCATTTTGCTGTCTCTGAAAATTCAAGTCTCAGACTTAAGCTCTGGCTGGCCAGGATTTAGAGCTGTTTCTAGAAAGGAAGAGCCTGGTCTTCTCAGGTGGCATGCGGAGTAAGGAAGGAGGAGAGAAACCTAATGTGTGCTAAGATGGAGTACCTACTGTGTGCTGAGAATGGTTCTGGGGGTCCTTGACTCTCCTGGTATCCCGTTCTGATTTTGGTTTTGTGCACAAGAAGTCTGAATCATAGAGATCAAACATGTGTTCCTGGGGCCAGCGGAGAGAGGGTGGCAACCAAAACCTGAGCCACCTGCCTGCTTTCAAGGTTTTTTTCTCCTTCCATTGAGCCCAGGATTTGACCTTCACTTCCTAAGGTGCACAGCCTGGGTGCTGAGGACTCAGTTAGGGTTCACCGTAAGTCAGAGGTCGTTGTCTCTATTGCACAGTTGAGAAGACAGACACTAATGAGAGATGGACTGGCTGGTAGCGCCGTGACCATGGCCCTCATATGCCCTGTGCTGGCCTTGGTGCACGAAGTTTGAAGTTATTTCCTCCTGTGTGTTTATCAACACTGTAAAGATGAGAACTGTCATGGTGCCCATTCTATAGATGAAGAAACCAGGACACGGAGAGACTAGATATGCAATAGACCCAGAATTGAACCCAGACTTGTTCTGACAGAGTCTGTAGTCTTCCCGTGAACTTGCAAAGTCAATATCCAGGTAAATTAATAAATGGGTAAATGATGAAGTCAGGATTTAAACTCCTGTCTCTGATTCTAGGGCCAGCCTTCTTAACTTGAAGGCACATAGCTACCTTTACTGTGTTGTGCTCTGCTGGATGCTGTAAAGCTGACTTATCACCAGCCAGGTTCGGCAGGGCTTGCTGGGTTTCAGCACAATGGGAGATGTCTTCTCAAAGGCCACTGAGCCACCAGAGTGAAGGGGCTAGTCTTTCCGGGTGCCATAGATGGCCAAATCATTGTCAAAAGGAGAATAATATTTCCCTCCTCTTCTCAGGTTGAACCAAATTGGGAGGTGAGGGTAGAGGACTTGGCGACTCATTCAAGATTAGGGTTAAACCTGTGTACGGTGGCTCATGATCACAATCCCAGCACTTTGGAAGGCTTGAAGCAGGAGGATTGCTTTGAGTTCCAGTCCAGCCTCAGCAGACTACCCAGGATTATACAAAACACCATCTAAATAAACTAATTAATTAAATAAACATCCTATATACTGGTTGGTACCTCTAAGCCTTTGTTGGAGACGAAGCTGGACTCCGCCCCAGGAGAAGTCCATCCCTCTGACCTTGTGAGGAGTTGGGGCTGAGCCGCCTCAGGACCTCACTCTCATTCTGGACAACTACAAAGGCTCCTGTCACCTGTCATTCAGAACTGGGTCTGCCAGTCACTTCCTCATTCACTTCCGTTTCTGAGAGGACTGTGTGGTTTGAGCTGTGCCTGCCCAGCTCCGTGTCTTCCAGCATTAATAGTTATCTCTTCTCCTTTCAAGAATGTCTGCAAATTGATGAACATTTGCAAAGTGCTGTGCAATACGATGTAAGGTGTGGCATACAGATCTTTTTCTAATTTCTTTTTTTTAGTGATATTTATTGAGCTCTACATTTTTCTCTGGTCCCCTCCATGCTTCTCCCCTTCCCCTTCAGCCCTCCCCCAAGATCCCCATAATCCCAATTTACTCAGGAGATCTTGTCTTTTTCTGCTTTCTACTTTCCATGTAGATTATATCTATGTAAGTCTCTCTTAGGGTCCTCATTGTTGTCTAAATTCTCTGGGATTGTGGTTTGTAGGCTGGCTTTCTTTGCTTTATGATTAAATACCACCTATGAGTGAGTACATGTGATAATTGTCTTTCTGTGTCTGGGTTACCTCACTCAAAATAATGTTTTCTAGCTCCATCCATTTTCCTGCAAAATTCAAGCTATCGTTATTTTTTTCTGCTGTGTAGTACTCCATTGTGTAAATGTACCACATTTTCCTTATCCATTCTTCGGTCGAGGAGCATTTAGGTTGTTTCTGGGTTCTGGCTATGACAAACAAAGCTGCTATGAACTTAGGTGGGCACATGTCCTTGTGGCATGATTGAGCATCCTTTGGATATATACCCAAAAGTTACTGGGTCTTGAGGAAGGTTGTTTCCTAATTTTCTGGAAATCGCCACACTGACATCCAAATGGGTTGTACCAGCTTGCATTCCCACCAGCAATGCAGAAGTGTTCCCTTTTCCCCACAACCTCTTCAGCATAAGTTGTCATCAGTGTTTTTGATATTGGCCATTCTTTCAGGTGTAAGATGGAATCTCAGAATTGTTTTGATTTGCATTTCTCTGATGACTAAGGATGTTGAACATTTCCTTAAGTGTCTTTCAGCCATTTTAGATTCCTCTGTTGAGAGTTCTCTGTTTAGGTCTGTACGCCATTTTTTTTATTGGATTATTTGTTCTTTTGGTGACCAAATTCTTAAGTTCTTTGTATATTTTGGAGATCAGCCCTCTGTTTGATGTGGGGTTGGTGAAGATCTTTTCCCATTCTGTAGGCTGTCGTTTTGTCTTGTTGACGGTGTCCTTTGCTTTACAGAAGCTTTTCAGTTTCAGGAGGTCCCATTTATTAGTTGTTTCTCTCAGTGTTGGTGCTGCTGGGGTTACATTTAGGAAGTGGTTCCCTGTGCCAATGTGTTCAAATGTACTTCCCACTTTCTCTTCTATAAGGTTCAGTGTGGCTGGCTTTATGTTGAGGTCTTTGATCCATTTGGACTTGAGTTTTGTGCATGGTGATAGATATGGGTCTATTTTCATTCTTCTACATGTTGATATCCAGTTATACCATCACTTGTTAAATATGCTTTCTTTTTTCCATTTTGTAGTTGGAGGAGTGGTGGGCTACGTTCCTGCCCAGCTCCCGCACGGCTAGCTTTACCCAAAATAATTACACAGAAACTGTATTCTTTTAAACACTGCCTGGCCCATTAGTTCCAGCCTCTTATTGGCTAACTCTCACATCGATTAACCCATTTCTAATAATCTGTGTAGCACCACGAGGTGGTAGCTTACCAGGAAAGATCTTAACCTGTGTCTGTTTCGAAGAGGAGAATCATGGAGACTGCCTGACTCTGCTTCTTTCTCCCAGCATTCTGTTCTGTCTACTCCACCTACCTAATTTTTTGTCCTGTTAAAGGGCCAAGGCAGTTTCTTTATTTACCAATGAAATCAACACAAAAAGAAGACTCTCCCACATCACCATTTGATATTTTTTTGCTTCTTTGTCAAATCAGGTGCTCGAAGATGTGTGGATTGATATCCGGGTCTTCTATTCAGTTCCATTGGTCCTCCTGTCTGTTCTTATGCCAATACCAGGCTGTTTTCAGTACTGTAGCTCTGTAGTAGAGTTTGAAGTCAGGGATTGTGATGCCTCCAGAAGTTCTTTTATTGTACAGGATTGTTTTGGCTATCCTAGGTTTTTTGCTTTTCCATATGAAGTTGAGTACCATTCTTTCAAGGTCTTTGAACAATTTTGCTGGGATTTTGATGGGCATTGTGTTGAATCTGTGACAT